ATTCACAGCGAAGATCTTGGGAGTGGGTGGGGGAGGTGGATTGTAATGAGGAGGCAGCAATCTATGATCAGCTGTCTGCCTCTGAAAACTCACGGAGAAGGGAATTGATTAAGAGAGAAGAAATGATGCAGCACTGAGCTCAGAGCTGAACCAATCCCCCCCCCCCAAGAAGGAAAAAAAGGATAGAGAAACCACGAATGGCAATAACTACCTTTCTGAATCTAAATTAGGAGCCAAATTCTCACGTGTCTTCAGGGCTGAGACCAAACAAAAACTGGGGCATGGTCAGACCCTGCAGAGGCGTGGCAACTTTGATTGTTTGGTCTGATTGGGCTAGAAGACTAAATCAACCCATCCGTAGAGTCTACATTCCTCTACATGCTGGAGAAAGGACAATTCAGCTTGCCATGGGAACTTGTGGGTGCTTCATCACTGGAAGTTTTTAAGAAGAGAGTGGACTTGTCTGAAATGATACACAGTCTCCTGTTTGAGCAGGGGGCTGGACTAGAAGACCTCCAAGGTCCCTTCCAGCTCTGTTCTGATTGATTGATTGAAATCTTGTCATTCCTTTCCCAATTTTGAGCTATTTAGTTATTTCATACTCCATTCTAACTTTGCTTGCTAGTCACCATATAAATTCTTGACTAAGCAGATAATTGACCCAGACTTCCATCTTTTTAAGGACTATCCAATAATTTGTTATGGTCTATCCAATCAGAAGCCACTGTGTAATTAATAAAGCAAAAATAGTCTTTTTAAAAAGCCCTCTTTACTTGTTCTACTACCCATCAGATCTAGCAATGTGATACTGGACTGCTTCTGCTTTTCTTAAATTTATTTTGTACATCTGGCACTTGTTTTCTGTTTATTATTACTTTAGATCAGTGCTAAATAAGCAGCTGCTCTAAAAACGTTTCCAGAATTAAAAAATGAGTGTCATTTCATTTTTGGCTGTACATTCAACTTTGACATCTGTTGTGATGCAATTGCTACTTCTGAAGCTCCACAAAGGTTGTGCAAAGTATATCTCTAGTTTCTAAGTTAATAACTTTCTTAATAAATAGTTAATGAAGCTGATATTAGCTATTTACATGAGCTTGAATGTCCTGTTCTAATAAATTAGTAGAAGATCAAATTAAACAAAGTTTAATTTAAACCAACTTTTTTTGTGTGCATACGGAACAATTTTTTACTCAGGTGCTTTTTTTCCTTTTTTTCCTGTTCTTTTTTTATTGCTAGCTTATTAACTTTGTGGTTATGCTAATTTGCATTTAGACCTTTTAATTTTATCAATATAAATTTCTAAAAAAATTAAATCAGTTTCAAAGAACGCTATCTTCTGTATTAGCTGACTGCATAAAAGAAGTCCAAATAACTTCAGATACTTTGCTCATGCTGAGAAAGCAACAAAACCTTACCATATTTATTTATCAGAAATGTGTAGATTGGTTAAAAAAAAGTTTCTAATTTTTTTTCCCCCTATAGTTCTTGGGTGCATTTGATTTGGCTACTATGAAACGTAGACTAAATATCCTAGATGCTCATACAATTTGGTAGTAAGCTGAGAATAAATGTATTTTATCATGCTTCATACATTTCTGGGGCTTGTTCCACACCTTTATTTTGACCATAATAGCCATTTTTAATCAATAACGCTATTGGATGAAACAGGTATGTTCTGAATTCTCTGAAGCAGGTCCAAGTACACATTGGACTAAGGCATATGAGCATTCAGCATCTCTTAATCTTACTTAACAGAACTATTTAGCAGAATAACAGAGTTGGAAGGGACTGTGGAAGTCTTCTAGTCCAGGGATCCCCAACCCCCGGTCCATGGACTGGCAAGAGTCTGCGGCATGCCAAAAACCGGGCCACGCAAACAAGCGAAGCCCCATCCATGGGATGCAGACAGCACACAAAACCACGCACCCTCCAATCCACGGAAAAACCTATCTCCATGGAACCGGTCGCTTGTGCCCAAAAGGTTGGGGGCCACTGTTCTAGTCCAACCCCCTGCTTGAGCAGGCAACCATTTCAGACAAGTTATTCAGACCTGAATAATGCCAAAAGCATGGTCCTTAACCAACACAGCCTCACAATCATGTATTAGACAAAGAGAGGCAATGGAAAGTAAAAATTATATAGAAAAAAAATCTAATCTACACAATATTTTGCAAAAGGGATATATTAAATGTGTGCAGGTCAGCTGGAATATAATTCCAAAGAACAAGTCAGCTTGACTCAGTACTTTAAATCAAAGCATTGAAGTGGACTGATTTGCTTCAATCAACGGCTTTGATCTAGAGGAAAAAGAAATCTTTTGCATGTGCAATTTTTTTAATTGTCAAGATCAAAGCAGCACTCCAGTCCTAATGCACTGATACAGAGTCCTGTTCTGATTCAGCGCTTCACTTTAAAGAGGTGTTTCAGTTGGATATTTGTTGAAGCAAAGCAACCTCTGATGTCCTGCAAAGCTTCACAAATAGTATCTGGAATGGAAGGAATAGATGTTTAGCCACTTTTCCCCCCTTTGGCAGCAACATAGTTCTCCCGTCAGAAAATGAACAGTCCTACAATTAACTTTAATGGATGTATTTATTTATTTCCCCTTTTTATTTTTTTTATAAATAACTGAAGGTGTGAACATACCTATACTCCTCCCTCCTTCTAATTCCCCCACAACAATAGGTCTGTTAACTGGGCTTGGTTGACAGTGATTGGCCAAAGGTCACCCATGCTTAAGGTGGTCCCCTCATTTTTGACCTGATGCCTTAGCCACCAGACCAAACTGGCCCTTCGTGTGATAGTTGGACCCATCAATGATAGGTTGCTTATTAATTACTCCAAAAGAGAACCAACAGAGTGAAATGGCAAACATCCACAGAAAGAATAACCATACACAGATGCTGTTAGACTTTCTGAAATGCTTATTTAGGCTTCTGAGTACAATTTAAGGTGCTGATTATCACCTATAAAGCTCTTCATGGTACACTATAGGGCTGGGTCTTGTAGAGTACCTGCCACCTATTGATTCTATCCATCCCATGAGCAGGGTGGGTATCCCCTCTATAAAAACAAAACCGTGTGGTGGACCCAGGAGACATGCTCTATTGTAGTACCTGCCTTTTGGAATAGTCTTCCCCCTAAGATTTGGATGGTCCTGACACCATTGGTCTTGAAGGCCTTGCTTCCACCACCTCCCCGGTAGGGGCCACATGCTGGATGAGCCCATCTATAGTGATTTGAAACTTGAATGAATGTGAGTCAGCCTGTTATTTTATTTTCCTTTTGTGTTGTTTTTAATCTATTGGTTTTAATCCATGTATACATTGGGTGCCATATAAATTGATTGCAAATGTATATACTTAAATTTCTATTCTGCTCTATTTTCATGAACTCAAGGCAGCTTTCAAGAATAAAATTACAATTGAAAGAATAATGTTAATAATCAATAAAATATAATGGATCTGATTGCACATAATATATTGTGTGACAAAAGATGATAGTATCTTTCAGCTCAAGACTTGAATCCTCCTGGGTAAGAATCCGAAGGGATATCCCAGTGAAGGGTAGCTGTAACAGCAAAATGGCAAGATGAACAAATCTCACTTTTATTTATGTTGACAGGAATAGTTGCTAACCATTCTCTCCCCCCCCCAAACTCTGTATTCTCCTGGTATGCCTGTGACTTCTTTTCTTTGAAGGATTTTTTTTTTAAATCTGCTGAACAGATGTTATTGGTATACACTCACAATCATGTTGCTATACTCTCTGTTGGATTCACTTTATAGTGCCAAGAATTCACAATGAATTTATGCTGGTCAATAGGTTTTCTTCCTCAATAACCCTGTCAACCAATATAGCAAAAAAAAAAAAAAGCTTTAATTTCATTCATTTGCAACAGTTTGATTTACATATTCCCTGACTTTCCCTGACAATTTTCTGCAAGCCTTTGAGCGCACTGCTGTTAACTTGGAAAATCTGTTGTCTTTTGCTAGCTGCATTTGCCACAATCTTTATTTCAAATGTTTTAAAAAAGTGAAAGCATCCACATTTGAAACCACAGTCCAATTACGGATCTCCACTACAATGTTAGATCACCAAACCATTCAACTGAAGCATGGAACTGTTCTAATTCCATAAAAGTGTTTATTTAATTCCTGTGTAAATTGGACAGCTTTGGTATATTTCCTTGATTCAGCCAAGAACACTTAAGAATAATGAAGTAAACTTCATTTTCTAATTGGGGATCTTTCAGAAGCTTCTTGAACTAGTGGCTGTCCAAGTTTCGTCCCAGTTTTGATGAAGTTAACATGTGAGATCACTGTGGATATGCTATTTTTTATTCCCAAGGAATGTGGGTAAAGTGGGACTTCAACTGAGAAAAATTTAACTGGGACACAGGTTTTGCTCCTCACTGATAGATCTGGAAATAAATTAAGAGTTGCAAAAAGCACCAAAGAGATCTTCGGCAGCTTACTGAACAATTCAAGTAGTAGAGCAATTCCATGGAGAACTGAAGACCTAAAAAGCACACCATAAAAAAGTTCAGGAAGGTAATACCAACCGAATGTGTCACGGTTTGGTAAGATGCTTAACGAGCAAAAATAGGTAAGTGTGTGTGTGTTTGTGTGTCTATGTCTGTGTGTGAGAACAGTAGATTGATTGCTGGGAAAACTCTACATGTGACAGGCCAGGTTCAAGTATGTGCCGATTTGGAGTTAAAAGATCACACTATAAAAAAAAGGCAGTCCCCAATTCAAATGTGATATATGTGCAAAAACTACATTAATTACTGGTAGTCACAAGAGGATGTTTCCTATCTTCAACTACAGGCCCATTTTGACTCTACACAACAGTGGCATATTATCCAGTGGCATGGATCTAGTTTTGCCTGGGTCAGTGAAAAAAGAGCAATGTCAACTTTACTATCAATATCAAAGCTACTAAAACTCCAGTTTTGCTTTTTTTCTCTCTCTCTCTTCATGCTCTTGAGTTACCTGCTGAGTTGGTCTTGAAGTAGATCTAGCCTCTGCTCCACTTCACCATAGTTGACTTCACTTTCTGTCTCAGAGACTCCCCAGGTGACATGAGGTAATGCAGACGGATAGGCTGATTCTTGATGACTTGTGCTCTGATCTTCCTCCCAGGTTCTTCTGTCCCCGATATCTACCAGTCAAAGCAATGAATGAGAGTGAAGGTCAGCCTAGTGCAGATACTATTTTATGTCTGTTTCTTATATTTCTAACCCATGCTATAAGAAAAGGTCGCTTATCTGCTACTGCAGTCTTTAATTTGCCACCAGCACTTTCACACATAAGGCTAATTTCCTTGTGCAGAAGCCACCCTTAGAATTTTGTAGAGCTAAAGCAAGTTTCCTAATCCAGGTACACCTGGGTTTATTTCCTGCCTTGTTCCCTCTGAATGGTTGAGATTCTCACAGCATCTCAGATTCCTTTCCATGGTAGGCATTTGATGTGGGGAAGGTGGATGGATTGTGTGAATGCACAGACTACCACACAAAAGAACTACAGTTACAGGAGAATAATTTTTTTTCATGATCTCTGGGCACCAGATATCTCAGTGAATCTGAGCAAGTTTGTTGATAGAGATGCTGGGGCTAAATAAGGATGATGGACAATGGCAGCCAGAATAACTGGTCTGGGATTAAATATCCAGATATTAGTGGCTAATTGAGGTGGAAGTCTGGATCAGATTATTCTCCTATGGTGTTAATGTATAGAGGGCCCTACAAAAAGCAGCTGATAATAAAAGCTGAGCCGAGAGTGCCTGAATAGCCACAGAAATTTAAGACAAACCCATATAATCTTGAGCAAGCCTGAGGGCCTCAGTGCTGCTACTAGGACTTTTGAATGCATTTGCAAGTAAAGGGAATAAGAAATGGCTGTGAAGGACAATCATTGTTACCCAGACAATAATTAGATAAGCCGGGATTGCGCTGGTTCCAAGAAACCTGAGAAAACATATCAGACAAGCCCCTCCTTAGTTCACATGAAGATAAAGGGAGGGAGGGGGAAGCACATTCAGACGTGCCAAATTTTGTTACAATAAGAGCAGTCCTGACCTATATGGCATTTGTTTCTTAGTCTGGTTTACCTGGTAGAGTGACAGTACTACAGAAGAAGCACCTATGGACTTAGCAAGAAGCCGGGCACTCTGTGTGTTGATTGGGGGAAATTAGGGAAAAAATAGTCAGATACTCACTGTTATGTTTTCCTAAGTTAATTATTGATAAACAGCAGTTGCCCAACAATGCAATTTCCAGTCTCAGAAAACAGAAACAGATGGAAAATAATAGCTTTCCCTCCATTTATCTTTTTGCTCTGAATCAATTCCTTTGAATTATTTTCATTTCCAGGAAGAAAAGCAGAAGTATAAGATAGGAAATTTTGAAATTTCCCAAGCAAAACCCAACCATACTCTTTAGTTACACTCCTTTCCACAGACCGTAATTTCCCACGGTTGCTTGTGCTTTTATTCAGTAAAAATACTTGATTTATACTTTAAAAAAACCTGGTTTCTTTATATCAATATTTGCATATGAGCTCCCAAGGTGCACAGCCTCTTCCTTCTGTTTTCTTCACACCTTAAAGATATCTTCAGAAAACAAATGAAAAACAAGACTAAAACAAAATTTCTCAACAAGGTCAAACAATCAGCAAGAGACAGTCTGCAAATATCTGAATAAAGATGCAAAAAATTCTCTTTGCTGCCATCTATGGTCAAGAGGTAGAAGCCATGTCATCAAAAAACAAAAAAAAACAACAGTAAGCTTCACGGACTGTTCTGAAGCAAGTAAACTAACTGTAATCAACCAGGTCTTTAGGACCCTTTAAAAAGCAATTATGAAGAATCTTAGGTACACATATTAAAAGCAGGCACTTCTATAATAATAGAGCTGGCACTATGGCAGGAGTTCACCAATCCGCTTCATTTTTTTCTGGCAGTCTTTTGCACAGGCCTCTGAAACTGCTCAGAGAGTTCAGGTAAGTTCACATTCATGCAGACAGTTTTCCACTGAGAGTAGAAGTTATCGACTGTAATGCCAATATCACTCCTCACACTGGATATTAACAAGGAGGTAACACATCATTAGGCTCTTTTTTCACAGTCCCTAAAACTGATAAACCTGTCGGTATCCTATGTACCAGTATATCTCGTTACACTGTATACTCACACGTTTAGAAAATACCCACATTTTGCTAATTAATTTAGTTAACAAAAATAAATAAGAATGCTGCTGATTAGATGGACTATTATTAAAAGCAGGCAGACACAAAGAGAATGAGAAAAGACGATTACTTCTTAAGTGTCCCAAACAAAGAACAAGGAAATTTTATTTGGGTTTGTACGTGACCACAGTGAAAATACACACTCCTGAAAATAGCTAAATATAGCCCAAGAAGATTGTTTTGCTAGGTTGCCTTGGAAAGTGTTGCCATAGCTGCGAGAAATATTTCTAGCAATCAAAAGAGAAAAGGTGAGCTTCCAAATTGCAAATATATATTAGTAGCATTTACAAAGGTCTGAGTTGCCAAGAATTTATGGGTAAATGAATGACCTTATTCTCTCTCTCTCTCTCCCTCCTTCCCTCCCTCCTTTCCTCTCTCTTTCTCTTAATTTTCCCAAGGAACCACATGAGAGACTGCTGTGGAGAGCTCAACCAATAAGGTTGTGAACGTGCACAGGCGCGCACACATGCACATATATAAATTGGGGGAAAAACAGCAATTGCCTTCAGAAGAAAAGCAATCCACACAGGCTGGACAGAGATAGCCAAAGGTCCTGATGTGGCCTGGGGGGGGGGGGCGTGTAAAATGCCCAGGACTGATGTAACCTGATACTTGATGAAATGACATGGGATTAAAAACTGAAGCTCTTTATGCAGAAATATTCATGCAAGGAGAGAAATCAACAAAACACATATCAATTACGATGTGTAAAAATTACTGGTAATATTGCAGCGACAGACCTCTTGATGTTTTGCATATCTTTATGCATTTCAGTTATTCCTAATCAACAATCTTAAAGTTCTGGCAATAAAATGCCACGGTGAGATGGCCAGGAGTTAATTTATATATCTGATTAATAATTAGACAAATTTTATTCAGTGCTGATCTTACGTGGTAAATGTTTGCTCATGCTGAAATCTGGAATGGTGTCTGAAACCTAAATTGCTATATTTTAGCATCTCCTGCTTAGAGTGAAAAAAAATCATGACTACTTATGACTCAACTCTATTGTTTCTTAAAACAACAGCAAACACGATATTTTTAGAGTGATCAAACAAAACCCGGCCACCCGTAATGGCTAGCTTATACAACGTGATGGTAGCATGAGTCTTTCTCAACAGGTGAAGCAATTCAGCCGTCATTAATCTGGGTCAGAGCAATCAAGATTTCAGGCTTCACAGGAACAGGCTATTTTCAGAAACCAAACATTCAGCACCAAATGCTGAGACATGACATGAAACAAGACATGAGACTTCTGCGATCATTAGTCTAATCTTAGTTTCTTGGACAAAACTCACCAATGTATTACCAGAAATGTTTGAGAAACATTTTAGAAACTTTTAATCTTTGTATTACATGTTATGGCCAGATGGTTTCCAATGAGCTCTTATCTCATGTGGTTCAGCTATAATCTATTGACAGAAAAACTGGCTTTGAATACTGAATCTTAAATAGTGATATGTCTTGGTTCAAATAAGCTTTTTCTTACATGACAAATATGTTAAGACAGGATTGTTTTCTTCTCTTTTTTGCCTGCTCTATAGTTTTTGGCCAATTTCTGAATCTTTGTATATATAAAGAATTCCTTTTTATGACCCTATAATCTTTTAATTCAGGGTAGAGCTAGGGCAACTGGATGAAGCTGAGCGTTTACTAGCTGGATGCCCTTCCTTATGCCTATGCAGAGTTCACAGCAGATATTTTTTTCCCCTAGGAGAGAAACATCTGCCACTATCTAGGATTGAACTCTCAACTTTCTGACTGGGAGACAAGTGTCTTCACCACTAGGCTATCCTGATGCTCATCTTTTGTATATATCAACAAGATTAAAAACCCCAACCCTTTGCTGTTGGGGGTTCTCAGAACTATTCTCTGAAGTTTTGTAGCCCAGATATGGTCAGCTAAAGGATCAGCATTCTGCCATTCTCTTTTGAAGAGAACACTATAGCTGCTGAAACAGTCTATGGCTGGAAGAAATTAACTACTAAAATGTGATAAACTTAATTGCAAGGGCTATTCTCAAGGAGAGGTTTGATCATATAAAATTTTATACAATATAAGTATGATGTAAGAAAATATCATTTAGCTTTTGAATAATTTATATTTAAAGTTTAAGATATTATTTAGAAGTGTAGAATAGTTTTTTTTTGTTTTTTTTTATTATTATTATTATTATTTTTTCTTTTTTTTCTTTTCTTCTTTTTCTCTTTCTGTTTTTTTATATATAATGGAGTTAAAGTATTTAATAATTTGTTTACTGAATGTGATTATATTTGCTTGAGGTTTATTTGGGTTTAAAAGTTTTTTCTTATAAGTTATAGTTAACCCTATATTCAGCTCTGGGAAGAATGGGGGAGGGTTTTGGGGTGGGTTGGGAGGGATCGGGGAAGGGGTTTTTATTATAAAATTGTAAAAATTTATAATAATAATAAAAAAGGAGAGGTTTGATTACCAGGTTAAAAGTCTGTCTGCTTTAACCGTTTCCCAGGAGTTCTTAAATCTGAATACCTTTGGCAAAAGACTTTGCTGGGTTTACCTTTACAGGTGTGACTTTGTTGATCATTTTGGATTCTTTCTGTTGCATTTACTATTTCTTCAAAATCCAACACTGCAGCCTTGCCTAGTCCAGCTGGGTAGCTTATTATCTCAGAAAACAAAGGTTTCTGCTCATCATCTGTGGATGACACAAAAGATGATGACCTGCTTCTCTTTTCCACATAATGTTTCTCGATGGCCCGACAATGCCTGTTGTTGTCCACAGAATTCATATCTTCTTTGTCATAATCTGTTAGAAGAGAAATTATTAGGTTGATGCTATTTATTCTTGTCCTTGGGGAAATGGGGACTACTGTACATTATTATACCATTTAGCAAGCATGTTCTGTTCAGAGGATAATGTTACTTCAGTGTCTTTTTAGAGAACATGCCTGTAGGATTTACATCTATTTTCTCAAGCAAATCCTGCAATTCATCTCTAGTCCAAGGACCATGGCTGATTTTTATTTTATTTTTTTTAAAATGGTGAGTACAAATAAATACATTAAATGAGAACAAATTTTATTTGCATACAAGATTCATTTTTTTTTCTCAGCACTTAATACGTTTTGATTTTTAAAAAAAAAACATTTCTAAACATTCCTAGGAAAGAAATACATGACTTTTAAAAAAGAGAATGGTTTATTTTGAATATTCATATCAGCTTGATAATAGTACCTTACCCATTTTAACTAGAAAAAAAAAGCATGCAGGCTCTAGATTGCAATTGGGGCACTAATGTAGGTTGTATTGGGCTGAATTTTTTTCCTCTTGGCTTCTTGGGGCTCAGAATCTTTGTTCACCTCATCATACACAATTTGTGCATTTTCAAAACAACTCTGTTGTTGAAAGTAAAGGGGGTTTTTTGTTTTTAAAAATACACTTGTGAGAATGTAGGAATGATGGTATCTAGAACCTAGAGGGAGAATTTAATGCAAATGTGGATAATATTCCCAATCCATAGTAAAATTCTTCCTCTAATTAAAATAACATGATCTGAATCAGCTTTATGCTATACACATATGGTAACTTCTAAATACACATAGTCAACTTTGTAAATATGTATAGGATGTCAGCCTTAATATTCTCCAATTTATAATCAGTTTTTTATCCCCAAAACATAAACAAATCATTTCTCTCTTATTTACTAAAATGTCTATTTTGTAATATATTTAGCAATCAGTAGCTAATTTTGTCAATCTGTTTGCATTTGAGCAATGAAGCAAATTACACAGAACACTCTACAACACACGTTCCCTTCAGTCTTCATAGAAAAACAGCAACAGGTAACTCAAGCTAGATCACAGGTCGGCAACCTGCGGCTCCGGAGCCGCATGCGGCTCTTTGAGCCTTCCCCTGTGGCTCCCAGCCTCCTCTGCCTTTGCAGAGAGAGACAGAGAGAGGCAATTGCACTTCCCTGCTTCTCTCTGTGTGTGTGTGTGTGTGTGTGTGTGTGTCTGGGTGTGTGTGTTTTGTGTGTGTGTGTGTGTGTATATATGTGTAAAAGAGAGTGCACTCACATTGTTCTCCGAGGAGCTGAAAAGCTTTCTGGGTGGAGCTCCTCCCTTTGCTGCGTCTCAGCAGGAAGCAGGAAGGGCAGGAGAGAGCTAGCTAGCCCAGCTAGGCTGACTCAGGAATTCTGGGAGTTGAAGTCCATGAGTCATAAAAGAGACGAGGTTGCCTACCCCTGAGATTGTTGGAGAACAACTTGAAGCTTGCCAGGTGAACAGCAGATGGGGGGGGGGAGAAAGAGAGAGAGAGAAAGAGAGAGAGAGAGGGAGGGGAAGAGAGAGAGGAAAGAGAGAGAAAGAAAGAGAGTGGGGGAAGAGGAGTGGCAGACCAAGGGCAGAGAGGGAGGGAGGGAGAGAGACAGAGAGAGAGAGACCCTTTTGACATCTAAAATGAAGATAACACTGCATATATCCTTTTTTTATCTGTGTGTGTATGTAATTTTATTCTCTTAAAGCATTCTCTCGGTGATCATTGTTTTAATAGTATGGATATTCCCAAGAGTCATATTTTTACTTTTATTTTTAATGTGTGTGTGTGTGTGTGCGTGTGTGTGTGTGTGTGTGTGTGTGTGTACACACACACACATACACAAACACACTCTCTCTCTCTCTCTCTCTCACACACACACACCTATAATAAAGATAAAAAAGGATATATGCAGTGTTATCTTCATTTTAGATATCAAAAGGGTTTTGCGGCTCCCAGTGTTTTGTTTTTGGTGGGAAACGGGTTCAAGTGGCTCTTTGAGTGTTTTGGGTTGCCTACCCCTGAGCTAGATGATTATAGCTCAAATTTGTGATCTCACAAGGCTTGTTTAATACAGTAGAAAATCTTCATCTAATAATTTCAAGAAGTGCAATTGGATGATCCATGATAGTTTGTTCCAAATTGTAATTGCTACACGGACCTCTACCATCCATGATGCTAAAAACATATTTATTAGTTCATTTAATAAATAACAATTACCAAGCTTTCATTATTCCCCGGCTTTACTATTTGAGGTATCAATCTCATTCTGCATAACAGTATGGGCAGCCTTGTTGGAAAAGGATTATCACAGTCATCTTGTGATCAAGACAATACCTGACCGATTTTTCCTTAATTTTCCTCCTTAATCATGGCCAGCAGGTATGTGATAGCAAATGACTGCACTCTCTGCTCTGAAATACACAACTGCCCACCTTAATTAGCTTCCTATAGGCAGGTTTAAACAGCATGTTGCCACTTTATCATTGCTCTTTAAGTATGTAGATGACCATCTACAGCAGGGGTCTTCATACTTGGCCCTTTTATGACTTATGGACTTCTACTCCCAGAATTCCTCAGCCAGGCACGCTGGCTGAGGAATTCTGGGAGTTGAAGTCCATGAGTCATAAAAGGGCCGAGTTTGAAGACCCCTGATCTACAACTTTGCCCTGTCACTGGTAAACCTAGAATGGTATCATTGGTTGTCTATTTATCTACCCAACTTTTAAGCACCAGATCTACAATATGTTTAGAAGAAAATATTTTAGGGCAGACTCATGCTTATCTTAATACTTATAAGTCCTGATTCATCCCAATCAAAGGAGACTGAATATGGATTATGTTAGAGATCATCAACAGATGTATATTCCTTTGCTTATTTATTTATCTATCATATTTATATAGCTGCCCATCTTACACAATACAGCTATGGATGGTATAAAAAATACATCATAAAAACCAGCCATTAATAAAATTCTTTGAAGAAGAGCATCAGTTTGGATTACTAAAGTACCAAAGTAGCAGAAAAAGATATTATTATAAGCAATAATATTATAGACATTTCAATAATTCACTATTTCCTTGTAATTCTCTATTCTTCAGTATCAGTACTCCTCTAGAATTATATATGAAGGAACAGATTGATTATGTATCAGTCAAGCTGGTGCTGACTTTTAGTAACCTTAAAGATATTCTTTAGGAAGATCAGTCCCTAATCTGATCCTTCAAGTTTTATATCAAGAAATAGGAAGTAATTTTTTTTTTAAAAAAAAAAACCAAACTGATGCTATCTGAGATACTCTACAGGATAAAATACCCAAAACAAATAAAATTCCTTTAATGAAAACTTAGAATAATTTAATTAAGGAGAAGCTGAAGGGTACATGAAATATGAGAAACTATACTATTGCTAGTATCAGAAATAGTATTTGTGAAAGATGTCTACAGTTTAAGATCTTTTATATTCTTCTTTTAATGCTGAACAAACTTTTCTTCTGAAGCAAATCTGCAATACTGAATTAACTGCCTTATTCTTGGAAAATTAAGTGGCCAAGGTACTAGAGGTAAAGGATGAAGGGAAGTATGCATTATCTATGTTTTGTATGAAGCCAATATAGAAACAGTTGCTATAGAAACTACTGCAGTGAGAAAAAAGCTAAGATTTCAAAGAGGTACTAACCTCTTCAACTTCTGATACTTAAAAAAAAATGACCTCATAACAAGGGTATCACAGAAATAGAAGGAAAATGCATATATCTGCTTTAACTGATTAAACCTAAATGTTATTCATTGTCATAGTCACAAAATCTTTCCTTTCCTGGTTAATTCCATTTTTTTTGTGGTCTCCTTTGTGTCATTTTTTTTAAAGATTTAAAAGCCTCTTGGATCAAGGATCTATTCCATCATAAAGTTAAAAATGACTAACCGGCTGAATAACATTACATGATATCTGAGATCCAGATGTTCCCTATTCTCTGGAAGGCTGTTAACACCTGGTTTTCCCCTCAGGCCTTGGGCCAGGATGGGAGGTACAGCCAGCATTGTGATTTGGGAGGATAGTGATATAAGGTTGGTGCTGATGGAAGGATTTATAACCTTGTTATTTTATTATTTCCATACCTGATGGTTCACTTTATCCTAATATGGGTAGCAACATACATTGGCTACATGATGGCAACATGAATTGAACAAATAAATAATATCTCAGGATTACAAAGTTCACTTAAAAGGGAGAATGCCTCTGGAAAAAGAGCTTTTTCTAAAGTCAGGAGTGTTCTCTTTCAAGGGACAAGCATTTTATTTTAACCAAGTACATTTTAGTTTTAATACGCTGTTTGCTTGTTCCTGTGGATTTGATTGGTTGACTGACTGATTTAATTCAATGCTGCAATCAAAAAGACTTTTGGTGGCTTATGTAGGAAAGTTACAAATTAAAACATTTACAGTAGAAAAATAAACAAAATTATAATACGATTGTGCAAAGGTAAAACCATATAAAATAAGAGAGGAATAAAGATAAAGAAGAGCTGAAATGGCAATATCAAATCTGGTAAAAGCTCTATGGAACAACTCAATCTTCAAGAGTTTACAACAGGGGTGTCAAACTCAATTTCATTGAGGGCCGCATCAGCATTGTGGTTGCCCTCGGGGGGGGCGGATGGGTGTGGCAGGATGGGTGTGGCCTACTGGGTGGGTGTGGATGGAGTAGGTGTGGCCTACTGGGTTGGTTTGGTCAGCTCTACATCGTTCATGCCAAGGGTGCCTGTGGGGATCTGGGCAGGAGTGGACAGATCTGAGAGTCTCTGGCAGAAGGGACCGGGACCGGGGCAAGCCCCAAGGCATGGTCCATTTCTTCATTCCTCACAAAGGGTGACATCTCCCCAGCATGCATCCAGGGGGTGGGGCCGATGCAGCAGGGGCTGGTTCCTAGCTGTTTCTAGACGGCATTATGGAGCTAAGACTGAATGCGTTTCAGCATAGATGGCCGCCACAAAAATGTACATTGCCTCCTGGCCGGCCTGGGCCAGGGCCAAGGCAGTGGGGGTTGTTCCCTCACTGTTTCCAGGATGGCTTCGCGGGCCACATGAAACCACTTCACGGGCCGCATCCAGCCCCCGGGCCTTGTGTTTGACATGTCTGGTTTACAACAAAGAGGGAGCTAACCTGACCTCCTCAAGATGGCTCTTTCACCATGCTAACCTGACCTCCTCAAGATGGCTCTTTCAGCCCCCCAAACCTCCTGAAAGTCCCAAATGCCTTGGTTTTTCCTGGTTGATCTAATCAGTCTGGCCAACACTGACTGGAGCAGAAAGTTCTGCATGTATCTGAGTATCAAACTATAAAGAGTTTTATAGGTTAAAATCAGCACCTGGTTATATTATGTGGTACCCAATTCTGATATGATCTAAAACAGGGGTCTTCAAACTTGGCCCTTTTATGACTTGTGGACTTCAACTCCCAGAATTCCTTAGACCCCTGATCTAAAATGTTGACAGTTGGTCTAGATGTGAAATACTTCTGTTTGTACATGGCACAGTAGAACAAAAAGCAACATAAGAATAGCAAAACTGAGCTTCCTGGAGGCAGAGAAAGCAAGAGCAATTTTGATATTTATGTGTTCTCTGAAAGGGAAGTTAAGGATTGCTTCTTGAAATAGTGGATATATAGTTTGCCCTGGATTCTTGTTCCAACAGAGTCTTCACTGTTTCATATTATTTATTTGCTTGTTTTACAAATTTAATCTGTCTTTCCTTTTACAGATGGGCAAGTCTGGAGTCAAACCAAAGAGTTAGTTTTTGCTGACTTCCACTGTTCTTAGTAGTTTAGCAGGGTGTAGCACTTGGAGAAGTGAAGTCATAGTAGTAATTTATGTGGCATCCTGAAAAAAAAATCTATTAAAAATTCATAATGGATATAGGACAGAAAGTTACTTTTTCTTCTTCGGCATGTTTTAGTATTTATTTAGTTACTGAAGGTCACCCAGGGACATAATCTTGGGGGAGGAGGGAGAGAGCAGTTTAAATAGTTTATGAAGGCATTTTCTTGACAGATTTTGTTGCCTTTTTTCTTTTGGCTTCATGCTTTAGAGATGCCCTTTGATGAAAGAAAACACAGTATTTCTTCTTGAATAGGATATAGGCAACTTGGCAAACAAGTTTTATACTGCATCAGAAATACATTAAATTAGAATTATAGCGCAATAAAGTGAAAGCCCCAATTGTTTAATTTCATTAACTTTGAAATTGCACATAATGTCTACTTAGCAATAATCACCACTGAATCCAGTGGAGGTTATTCCCAAGTAAATGTGCGTGGAAATGCAGTAAAAGAAATTTAGGTCAAATAGGCATTTTTGCCAGATAAAAAGATATTAGCTCTATCTGTGCACTAAGATGTTTGAGCATACTATGATCATCTCTGAGTCTTAGATACATTTAGTATAGGTTTATATCATTATTCTTTCAAAAACATCATTTAGTTTATGAAGGCATCCTTACCTTTCTCCATGTCACTTTCAAAAGACAATTTCCTTCTTCGGAGTTTACCATTGTCTCCATCTGAATCATTTGTGGTCTGTCGCCTTATTGTGAGATCAGCCTTGAAAAAGAAGACATCCATATATGATAGATCATAGACATATGACTTTATTTATACAATTCTTCACTAGTTTACTTTGAGATGAATCCAGAACTCTACTGTCCATAGATGGAAGGGTTCCTTCTAAACACAGAAAGCTTTTGAATCATGGAGAGATATGAAATGGTCTCTCTCCTACTTTTCCTAGGAAGAATAGAATATTCCAATGCCCAGCATTTTGTCTATATGCAAAAACAACAACAACAACGAAAGTAGTAATTCCTTTTCTGAGTAAGTCTCACATTAGATGTATGGATGATATTGAAGAGATGATCTTGAAGATTCTTTTTTAAAAAAGAATGTTAATATCAGCACTGGAATACTAATTAACATCCCCTCTACATCTTGTTCTCTGAGTAACTATTTAAAGTTGTTTATTCTTTTTTAAATAGAGTGTTCTCAGAAATAAGCTAGTGAAGAAAAAACTGAAAACAACCCCTTATAAATTGCTTATTTCAGACAGTAAATTATAATTAGCTATGATGTTTAATTACACAACAGTAATAAAAGTTGATCTGCATAAGCATAAAGCAGACCAATTATATGCCCTTTCATCTCTCTCTAATTCTTCCTTCTATCACTGAGCCAATGACAGAGATGTGACTTTCATAGCTAAAAAAGCAGCTTTTCTTTTGGTGACTGCCATTTCTTCTAATATTTAATTATTTCTGCTCTTTGTCAAGAATTTCTGAGATATACATAGTCATTCTTCACTACACAGAAACAGAACAAAACAAGAAAACAAAACAGAATAGTAGATAGAAAGCAAAAGGCTGATCACCTCTGTCTTCTCAATACAGGAAAGATGAAGGCAAAAGTTCTTAGAGAAGTTTACCATGGTTTGCCCTTGCCTCCTTTCTAGGGCAGAGAGAGAATGATTGGCCCAAAGTCACCAGCTGTCTTTTGCACAAGGTAGGATTAAAACCCATTGTCTCCCAGATTCTAACCACTACATTATACTAGCTCTGTAGATGCCATTCTCTTGGTAAATCATAGACTCGTATGGCTGGAAGGAATCTTGGAAGTCTTCCTGAAAAATGGTTGTCCAATCTTTTCTTGAAAACTCCCATCAATGGAGTTTCTTGTATATCTTAAAAATATTTATAATATTCTTGATAGGAAATTTCTCCTTAGTCCAGATTGGAGCTCTCTTTAGTGAGCTTCCACGCATTGCTTCTTGTCCTACCCTCAGGTGCTTTGGAGAATAAGTCGTCCCCATGTATTTAATAATCTCATTGCTCATTAAAATACAGATTACAATTTATAGCAGTTTTGCCTTTTGTGGATATCCTCTAGATCAGTATTTTTCAAACTTGACAACTTTTAAGATGTGTGGATTTTTAAGATGAACTCCCTAAATTCCCCACCCAGCACCAGATGTATGGATTTCAGCTTCTAAAATTCCCTAGCCAGCTAGGGAACGCTGAGAATTTTAGGAAATTGTGTTTAAAGATATGGATAGAACCCACATTGGAGATTTACAAAATGGTTATTGAACTTCTGTTTAACCTAACTTTTTTGTCTGACTTTAATTAAAATTTTAATGTTTCCCTGTTACTCTACAGATTTCACTAGGTCTAGTTAAGTGCTCCTCAATAATGGGTTTTAAAAAGATATATAATTTAACTCTCACTTAATGAGACCTTCATTCATTGCGTCATTTGCATTCATATAGTAAGTTCAGCCTACTTCCTTTTTGGATTGACATGAACCTTACAATTTTTTTCTATTCTTCCTCTTGTTTGGAGACTAAAATGAAAGTTAGCACATTTTTTTCTTCCCTAGAATCTTTATATGATTTGTAGAATTAGGCCTTTTGGATCCTCAAGAACCACCCATATAGTTTACAGGAAGCATCCTCAATACATGGCTGACTAGTATCTGCCTAAGTGAATTTAATGAAAGGGAGATTACCTATTTCTAGGACATTTGATTCAACTATCCAACTGCTTTTATTGCTAGGTACCATTTTCTATCAATTGTCTGGAATCTCCTTTTTTGTAATGCAAGTTAAATATTTTTGCATCCTGCGTGCTGAAATAAAAAAGAAAGGTCTTGATCTTCTATGTGATATCACATTAGAAGAGTACTGTCATACCTCCTCTCAAATGGCTTTTCGTACAGCTAAACACAGCAAGTTCCTTCAATTACCTTTCATAATTTCTGGTCCTCCAAAGGCAATTGATGGGAGTTTTCAAGAAAAGACAGTATCCTCCTATTCCAATTCCACTGAATTCTGCTTAAATGTGTGGTGCCAAGAACTGGATTCAGGGCCTAAAATGGGGGTTTTCCTCAGCAGCTGGTCACAAGATGGAAGTGGGAACCATAAGCAGCTTTTCTTTTGCTTTCCCAATTAATTGACTAACAATGGGCATTAAAAATACATCTGACTGTTAGTCTTCCTTTTTTTCTTTCTGCTTTCAAGAAGCAGGGGAAAAAATTGGAAAACAGGGCTGTGACAGGATGTTCAAATGAGGAACAACCTCATTCAGGAGAGGTACAACACAACAAGTTCTAGACTCCAAGGTGCAGATGGCAGGGAGCAAGGAACAAAAAACCCATTATATAGAAGCTGTTTAAATTGTGGGTGTCTAAGGAAAAACAGCCAAACTGTGCTTAACAAGAGTAACATTTTGCTACTTATTGGAATTCAAATTGACCACCTGAAACATCTATAGTGCTGTGCTGTATGGATAGGCATTGGAGATACATCTAGCTTGTACTGTGGCTAGAAATTGAGATGATGGAAACAGGAAGAAGGAGGAGGAAGAGAAGGAGAAGGAGGAGGAGAAATGTACTGTATGCAAACTGAAGCAGAGACTACACGTAATGAGAAAAAAATGGCTAGTAGGATAATTTAGGTAGTAATCTAGAGCTATTACATTATAGATAAATAGGGAGGGGGGAGAGAGATAGAGGGAGAGACTGAGAGTCATTGTCTTTACTGAGATTGAATTTCAGATTGTGGATACATTATTTCGAAAACTGAGGCATGGATAATCTTATTTATAATGACCTTAGTTTCTAAATAAGTCATGTAACAGAATTGCTGATCTTTTCTCTGCTGTATGACTGCTTTTTTCTAACATGTATCTATGTATCAACCTATGTATATATCTATGATCAATATATCTGTGATCAAGCAGCATGTTCTTCATGCTCTAGTCCTTTATCATGAAAATAAATAAGCAATGCAAAAGGAGAGAATTTTACTAGTTTTTTTTGCTAATATTTATCTTTCATTATCAATTTTTATTATGGCCAGAAGCTATATTTTTCCTTCTTTCTTTCTTTCTTTCTTTCTTTCTTTCTTTCTTTCTTTCTTTCTTTCTTTCTTTCTTTCTTTCTTTCTTTCTTTTATCTTTCTAGACAATTTGTAGATGTTGTTTTTGCCTTAATTTCATCAAGATAGGAAGAAGGGAATGGCAAACCACTTCTGAAAACCACTTGCCAAAAATGAACAGAATAAAAAGAAAATCTTCACTCTTATTGGGAAATGAGAAGATATCCAAACTCTATAATGAACATACTTTTGCGTTTTCATGTCTCAAGTTGAAAGTGAGTTCTAAATTGGTGAGAAACAGGTCTGAAAATTCAGGATACATATCCAAAACCTCTAATAAGTCTTCTCGCTGGATTTTATGCAAGTCACAGTAGGTTAGTGCTCTCACATCTGCATTTGACTTTCCTGGTTTTGCATAAAGATGGACCATCTCTCCAAAAATGTCATTTTTGCCTGTAATAGTAATGGCACAGAAAAGCATAGTAATTATAAGAATTCATATTTGTCTTTCTCCCAGAAAGCATAAAAAAAAAGAAAACAGAAATGTCTAAAAATGATTGTTTAACCACCGGTTATTTATTGTCCTATAAAAAAATTTTCTTTCTGGAAATCTCACTAACAAATCAATGCAGGTATAACAGAATAACACAATCCACTGTGATTAAAGTCTTTCCCATATTTACTTAATGGATGCCATTTTCTGCAGAAGGTTGTTATTGCCTGAACAGAATTCATTGGGCTTTTAGCTGTGGAGATAAAGCTGCAATTATTTATGATCCTCATAAAAGATCCTTGTAAAACTTTGGGAGGAGCATATGATGATTCAAACCCTTGAAAGTAAGGATGGTTGAGTTCTGAAGTCAAGATGTGTGCTGGAAACATGATCCTTCTATCAGGTATTCATCAGATTCCTGTGGGCAATAATGGCAATAATTGTTGGCAATCCCTAACACAGAGGTTCCCAACTCCCGGTCCGTGGACCGGTACCAGGCCGCGGCATGCCAGCAACCGGTCCACACAAGCCCTATTCGCGAGATGCAGACAGCACACAAAACCACACACTCTCCGGTCCACAGAAAAATCTTTCTCCACGAAACCGGTCCCTGGTGCCCAAAAGGTTGGGGACCTCTGCCCTAAAGGATGAGCACTGAAGTTTCATCACTGTTAAGGCCTTTTTGTGTATTTTGTAATTCGGAATATCTAAACTATGGACATGTATTTTTCCACTAGCATAATAGTAGTGTACATCTGATCCTAATGTAATTCAAATTTAATTCTGTTTTGTTAAATTATAGTAGTTGCCTTTCAGAGACTCAGAACCTAGGGCTGTTTTAACTGTTTGATGTAGGAGAAGAGCAGGCAGAGTGGGAGGAGCAATTAAATGTCTCCTTACAAGCTTAGAGTTCTTGTTTGTTCTCCACAAACAATCCAGATCCAACCTTACTTGAATTCCATTGACCAACAGAATTCAAGAGAGGTTGGACTTACATTTGTGGCAATGTAAGGACTCTAAGCTGATGACATATTTAACTCCACCCCCCAGCTCTGCCTGCTCTTCTCCTCACAATGACATATTCCTTTTCTCTAAATTTTATGTAATTTACATTTTATGAAAAAAAGGGTTCATATTGGATTCAGTACGATATTGATGCATATTCTCTTTTTATTCATTCTAATATGCAGTACCGATTCTGCTCTTGGAAAGGAATCTGATCAAACCGTGAAACATTTCCATATGTAATGATATTTTTGAATGCTTACCAAGAATTGCTACAACCATGTCATTCTTGAGGATTTCAATGGAACCTCGGGAAAGGAAGTAAAGTGCAGTCAGAACATCGCCACAATGGACTAGTGTGTCCCCAGGAGGTGCATGAGTTGTCTTAAACTTCATAGCCAGAGCCCGGAGACACCCTTTACTCGCCCCCTCGAAAGCTTTGCAGTTCTGAAGTAAACTTTGGTTGAGGTGGAGACAGATATCAGCTTGCAAACATTCTGGAAACCCCTTTAGGACCTGATGAAGATAATGTAAGAGTTTAGTACAACCAAGCTGCTTGGCCTATAGTTTGGGAATATAATTTCCTTGTTCAATCAGGTGCCAAATAAACTGGCACAAGATCTGTAATACAACGGAGATGAAAATATAATCAGAAATTTGATTGGCAGCACCAATAGGGGCAAAAGCATTCATGTTTGATCTAGGTTGCAATCACAGGATGTTCTTTTAACTAGCTGGATCAAAACCATCAGAACTGGACTTCTCTCTACACATTATAACTCACTAGGACATTGGAAAGAGAGGAGACTGAACCTTATGGGACATGATGTGAGAGAAGTGGGATGAATCATGAGTCATGTGAAGGGAGTAAGATGAAAAAGATGTATGTTTCAATGACCCAAAGACATGGAGCCAGCTTGTGTTGGAAGAAAGAATAATCTAATCTTATGAAAGGAAACCAATTAATGATGCTGTAATGTATTGAGGTGAATTACTTGGAATTGTTGAAAAAAAGGTCATAAGACTGTCAGTTAAGAGACAGACTTGCTGTCTACATGCTAATTATCTTGTGCTAAAACAGGAACTAATACTTGAAACCTATTGGCTGCCACCTAGTGGTTGAGTGTATAAATAGGGTGGAGCTGCAACTATTCAGGCTTCTGTTTAAACCTTTAATAAAGAGTTGTTTGTTCACCTGCTGCCTCGTCGATGCCTCACAGAACACCAAACATAATAGTGGCGATGAAGGTGGGATGTGCTGAGTCACTAAGGGGGTAAGCCAAGTGACGACACCTTGGTTGGGACCACGTTTCCCCCCCATTCCTGCCAGTATGAAAACACTAGAGGAAGAGTGCTCCCAAGGAACCGTCCCTGGGAGATTAAAGAAGCCTAGGCAGCACAAGGCATTGCAAGGCCGAAAACAATGAAAGCAACTCACCATGGTCAAACTCGGAAAACTCTCAGAATTCGATGTCGCACATCCAGAGAGGTGGAGCTCGTACGTCACGAGAGTCGAGAATTACCTTAGAGTCAACCAAGTTTGTGAAGATGGCTTGAAGGCCGCAACGCTGCTGTGCGTCTGTGCCCAGGCGACGTTCGAGATCGCCAAAAACTTAATAGCTCCGGCGCCACTTGAATCTGTTGCTTATTCCAAACTTAAGAGAATGCTCAAAGAACACTTTGAGCTGAAGCTATCAGTCATCACCTGGAGGCACACCTTCGAAAGAAGAGACCAATGACTGGATGACTTGGCTGCCAAATTCATTGCTGCCCTTCGTCAAGCAGCCTGACCCTGCAAGTTCAAAGATCTTGAAGAGAGGCTGCGAGACCACTTAGTGTGCGGGTTAAGAAACAGGAATCTCCAACAGAAATTGTTCACCAAAGAGACTATTTCATTTCAAGATGCCCTAAGAGAAATCACAGCCAAAGAAGCTGCTGGGGGAGCCGTCAAGGCCTTATGGCTCTCCAGGAACATTCCCTGTGCAGAGGCCATCCATCAGGAGGGCGCTGAGAGGGTCGAAGATTCTGAATTGGATCAAGAGATCGATCGGTTACAGCAGCCACCAGAAAGAAGGCCACAATGAGCAGTTGACAAGGCAGTTCCCTTCTCTCGATGTGCGGGGTGTGGAGGCCGACACAAATGCACGGACTGCAGGTTCCGCACAGCAACGTGTCGGGCATGTGGCAAGCAAGGCCACATCGCTGCAGTCTGTCAGGATCATCAGAGAGAGAGTCCACCAGAAGAGTTTCCCTGGAAAGATACCGGGCCCCGGGGCAACAAAGGGTGGGCTATTGTGCCACTAGGAGGAGCGTACTTAGAACAGGTGCCCATCATCCTCTTAAGGAAAAATTGCAGCTCAAAATCAAGTTGCAGGGAGTTCCACGCAACATGAAACTAGATACGGGGTCCGCATTATCCATAATTTCCCAGGGGACTTCCAAACACATTTGGAGTCATAGCGGCAAAAGAGTTAAGCTCAAGCCGTCGAACCTTGTGTTAACTGATTTCCAAAACTCCTGAGTAACAGTCAAGAGGGAAGCTACACTCAGGGTGTACTTCAAGGAATTTGAGGGCCCCCCTGGAAGTCATAGTAGTTGAGGGCAACTGCACAAGCCTCATTGGGCTTGATTGGTTTGAAGCATGGGAATCAATGTAACTGGAATAAACAGCACACAAGCAGTGGACTTAGCGGCAGTTTGCCGGGAGTTTGCTGATGTTTTTAGCCCTCACTTAGGGAAATATAAGGGTCCTCCCATAGCTCTTTGGCTTGATCCTGCCATAACTCCAATACAGATCAAGCTGCGTAGAATGCCCTTCGCCCTCAAGCAGAAGATCGATGCAGAGCTGCAGTCAGGCATCCTGCAGCCACTTGATAGCAATCAATGGGAAACCCCCATAGTTACGCCACTTAAGGCCAATGGAGAGGTGCGAATATGTGCAGATTACAAATGCATTATCAATAGTGCACTCCAACAACATGCATATCCGGTGCCTGTAGTCAGCCACATTTTGGCATCAGTACAGGGAGGTCGCATCTTTGCCAAGTTAGATTTGGCTCAAGCCTATCAACAACTGCCGGTGGATGATGCCATGGCGGAAGCTCAAACCATAGTTACTCACAGAGGAGCTTTCAAGGTTAAGCGCCTACAATTCAGGGTCAGTGTTGCCCCAGGCCTCTTCCAGGGAGTGATGGAGTGCATGCTCAAGGGTATTCCAGGTGTGTGCCCATATTTCAATGATGTCTTCATAGCTGAGGAATCAGTCGAAAAATTGCCAGAACGGCTCAAGGCCGTCCTTCAGCACTTCCGCAAAGTGGGGCTGAAGCTGAAGTGGGAGAAATGTAAGATTGGGGTAGCTTCAACTGAATTCCTTGGTTTCCATATAGATGCCCAAGGCATTCATCTTGCTAAATCCAAGCTCAAAGCAATTCAGCAGGCCCTCAGTCCAAAATCAAAGGGGGAGCTCCAAGTGTTTCTTGGACTGCTCAATTTTTATCACACCTTCCTACCTCACAAGTCCACAGTAGCAGAGCCATTACACCAGCTCTTGGACAAACATGCACAGTGGAAGTGGACCAGTGTCCACGATAGGAGCTTCTCAGCAGTCAAATCACTGCTGTCTTCAAATTCAGTTTTGATGCATTTTAACGAAAAGCTGCCTGTCTGCATTGCTTGTGATGCATCACCATATGGGGTTGGGGCTGTGTTGAGTCATTTAATAGTTGATGGAAGGCAAATTCCAATAGCCTATTACTCGAGGACCTTGTTCTCTGCAGAGTGTAATTACGCTCAAATAGATAAAAAGGCCTTGGCCATAATGGCAGGCACCAAGAAGTTTCATGACTATCTATATGGTAGGCCCTTCACGGTCTTCACAGACCATAAGCCACTCTTGGGATTGTTCACAACAAACAAGCAAACACCCCAGATCATATCCCCTAGGATGTTGAGGTGGTCAATTTTCCTGTCAGCGTGTGATTATAGTTTGATTCATAAACTAGGTAGAGAAATGGGCCACGCAGACGGCCTTAGCAGACTGCCTCTGCCGCAGTTAGAGCCCTCTCCCACTCCAGCCTGCTCGATCCCGCTCCAGCCTGGCTATTCAGGACCTGCCTGAGTCTCCCCTTAATGCAGGGGACATTGCTTCAGAGACAGCTTCAGACATGACGCTGAGCCGTGTGCTGAACTGGGTGCTCACAGGATGGCCAGAAAATAGTCCCGGGCCTAATTTTCAGAGTTTCAGCAGGAGGAAGGATGAGTTGTCAGGTGGTAGTCTTGAACTCACTGAGGACTTGAGTCTTGGAGTCTCTGCATGAGGGACATCCGGGAATGAAGGCACTCACGTGAAGCTACCTTTAGTGGCCTGGGCTGGACAAAGATATTGAGGCTCAGGTACACAGCTGCATATGTGCCAGCAAGCTAGGTCAGAGATGCCCCATGCACCTGTCCACCAATGGGAAACTACACATGCCCCCTGGTTCAGGATCCATATCGATTATGCAGGGCCTTTCCAGGGACAACTCTTCCTCTTTGTGGTGGACAGTCACTCCAAGTGGTTAGAGGTGGCACCTGTCCCCACCATGACTGCTGCCAGGACCATACAAGAACTGCACAGGATTTTTGCCATACATGGATTACCCAATGTGATAGTTTCTGACAATGGGGCCCAGTTTACTGCTTCAGAATTTCAGTCCTTTTTAAGGGCAAATATGATCAGACACACCATATCAGCCTCTTTTCACCCAGCTTTGAACAGCCAAGCAGAGCGCATGGTCCGAAAAATGAAGGAATCCTTAAAGCGGATAGTGTCAGGTAACTGGCAACACAGACTGGCAGATTTTCTACTCTGCCAACGTACAATCCCATGCACTTCTATGGGCAGAAGCCCAGCAGAATTAAGATAGGGTCGGTGTTTGATCACAAAGCTGGATCACTTACATCCAGATAGAGTTGCCTGACAAGCAACACAGCCAAAGGCACCACAGCACTTGCAAGTTGGCGACCCAGTCTGGGCAAGGAACTACGGGCAAGGAGCATTGTGGGTGGTAGCTGTGGTTTGTAAGGTGACTGGGCCACTTTCTTACGAAGTGGTCCTGGAAGATGGTCACGTGCTATGCAGGCACATTGACCAACTGCGGCGGAGGTTAGCAAACCGGCCAATAACTCATGACTCTAGTGACAGTCAAACTCAGGAGCAGCATGATGGCAGTAGTTCATGACAATCTGCCAGCGACGGTGGAGCTCTCCGACTAAGGGACAAGACTCAAGAGTCTGGTGAGTCAGTCCCAACCACTGATACCACAACCAATGGACAGTACCAGCTGACGGCTCCATTTTTGGGACTGGTGGACTCTGTTCCACCTGTGGACACTGGCTTGGGTCTACCAGGACAGCCCAGCCACAGAGACTTGAGTCTACCCATGATAGATGGGTCCCATAGCCCTTGTCTTCCAAGCCTAGCAGGCGAGCTGACCGACCAGGGGCCTTGAGCTGTTCGGAACGGGTGAAAAGGCCAC